CCTGCGAGTCGGAGCAAATGATTATGGGGTCTTCCTCGAAGGACGGGTGCTTCAGGAGATGTTGCTTTGCCGTTTTGGGCGCCACCATCTCAGATCGGTAAATGGAGCAAATCCTCCCCGCCGCCTCCCGCAGTACCAATGTTGTACTGTCTGGGTGCTCGGTGAGGACCCCAGCGCCGCCTTCCTATTACTCCCCCGGTCGCAGACCCGTCGACCCAGGCCCACGTCGCACGCTGGGGGAGCGCTCCCAGTCACGCCTCCGCAGCACTCCTCCTCGCTGTCGCGGACGCCCCGATCGGCAGCAGGTCCAGGTGGACCGTGACGCCGTCTGTTGGCGTCTACGGGGGCAGTCTCGTGGATAAGCGCGCCTCGGCGGGCAGCGCCACTCCAGTGGTCCCACACCGCTCCCCCGCGCTCTCTCCAGCCGGTCACTGACTTCAGTCACGGTTGGGGGGAGGGGGGCTTCCGCCACGACGCGGCGGGTCCTCCGACGGGAGGGAGAGCGCCTTCGCCAGTAGGCGCGATGCCAGCGCATCCCTCCTCATCTCTCCATCGGCACGACGCCCGCCTCGGCCCTCACGGCGAGTCTTGGAGCATGGAAATCGGGCAGCCAGTGATGACTCATGCCACCATCAGCATCTCCGCCTCCAGGACGCCAAGATGTGTGGCCGCAGCCGCAGGCAGTCACGCCGACCCCGCTGCCCGCATGCCCAAGTAGTCTCGAATCGCTGACACCTCTCCTGAAACAAGAGTGGTGTCGTAAACTTAAACCCCTTGCTGGAGCCCACCAGCCGCGACAGCACCGCCACACCAATTTTTGTGACCCCGGAACTTCCGTCCCGAGCCTTATTTCACGGCACGATGCTACAGTGCGCTACACGTATTGTGGTATTCAGCTTCCATGGAAACATCAACTAATTTGGACGCTCAAACATGGGAGTCAGGAGTGGTTAAGGCCCAGAGCGTTCTGTCTGGTTTATAAAACCTTGGCCAGCAGATGTAAACGTGCTTTTTGTATAAGTGGCTTAATTTTGACGCAAAAGGGCACTAACCTTCGGCGCAAATAATGCAGAAATTTCAGCGCAAATTGCAAAATAGCTTGCGCCGAACTTCGGCGCATGACGGCTTCACGGGCGTCCGGCGTACCATATGGATGTTTTCCAGTTTGGGCTGCAGGTTTTAGCTCTAGGTTTTAGACTGTAGGTTTTGGGTTGGGTTGGGCTGGGCTGGGCTGGGCTGGGCTGGGCTGGGCTGGGCTGGGCTGGGCTGGGCTGGGTTGGGCTGGGCTGGGCTGGTTGGGGTGGTTGGGTTGGGTTGGATTAGGTTAGGTAAGTTTAGGTTAGTTTAGTTTAGGATAGATATGAATACCTATTTTTTTGTAAGTTGAATTATTTTTTTCATTTTGTAGCATCATATGCCTTCCATCTTTTAACTGCCATATTCAAGCACCAGAATAAGTATGGACTTGAACCTTTTCCAGTCTGGATGCCTGTATGGAAGTTGTGCAAAATCATGCAGTTGAAGGTATTGTAACCACAAATAAGAGCTCATGACTCAAGTCTCAACTTGTCCATAATTGGTTATCTTGATGTATACTTGTAGACCCTTCCTCTTACTTGGCACACAGGCATGGTGTCACAGTGTTCTAAAATTGGATTTCAATTGGGTGTCCCAATAAAAAAAATCTGAAGACAAAATGAGATAGATTTAGTCTTTCCGCAAAACTGCATAATGCCATTTTTACCTCAGATTTTGTCAGAACCTTCACAGGATCTGAAATGAAATGATGTAGAGTAGATGCATCAACTGTCAAGTCATGCGTAACCTGGCAGCTGGCTGTTGAATCAAACTTTTGACATATTTTTTTAGCAAAGATGAAATAAAGCCACTTGTCATATTTTTAGGATGAAAACATTTTCCCCATCATGTGTGGTAGTATTCACCTAAAATTCTGAAACATGGAACACTGTCATACCAGCATTCCATCATGTCAACCAGCATTCCGCAGCATGTTAGCAGAAGCAGCAGCATGTTATAAGTATATGAAAGATCCAAATAGGTTGTAGGTTGGTAGGTATTGGTACTAAGTTTAACTTAATAGGTTAGTAGGCAAGGTTAGGATTAATTTTAGTTGAGCATCAAGATAACCATTACGAACAAGTAACAAAATCCTTACCTACCCTTGAAAGCATTGCTTCAATCACATCATCACGAAGAACCAGACAAAATTTTTGCACATTCTTACACTATTTGACATCCTGAATCCAGATATGATGCTTTCATGTGGCGCAAATACAAGAAAAACGAATAATCAAACCCGTGCGTATTCGTATCAACGGCGCCACAATTGTAGATCAGACCTTTTCTGAACAAATGCCACCACAATTTTAATTGATAAGGGATTAAAATGGCATGAGCATCAACATCTTGATTTTTTCTAAAAGATAGCGATAACTGATAACTAATAACTTACCATTCATTTTGAAATCACGGCGGTAGGTACACCAACACATGGCACTGAAAACAGCAAAAGACGGAATGGCGGAATGTCGTATGGAGCCCTAAAACGCAGCTCGAATTGAGCCCGAAAAGGAAGACGAACTGATGCCGCTTTCGGGGCTAATGTACTTTGAGCCCGAAAAGGGCGCCTAACTGATCCCGATTTTAAAATCATACAGATTTGAGCCCTGTTTTGGCACTCATATGAGCCCTTATTCAAAAATGTTCTCAAAGTGTTTTCTGAGTGAATGAGACGAGTTCACTTGATGTGACCTGTTGGCCTGACTTGAATGAGCTGAGTTAGGATAAAATGTTTATCCTTTAGCAAACACAACATCCATTATTACATTAAACGGAGAATGGGTTTGTTGATAACCGTTTACAAATACTATTGAGCATGTCGTCTTTCCCATGACTACCAGTCGCCGGCCGGGGTAACTTTTTCAAACATTCTCCACCCATGCCGGTGACCGCGTCACCGCGGCCAAGAAGAAATGGCTCCAACTTGACTGAGTTGCGGTAAATCAGCATCTGATATTAAGTTATTATTACGAGACCATGTTTGGCCGGAATCGTGATTCGGCGTACGTCGGCGCGCACTAGCAGCGCGTTTGCTGTCTTTTCGTGGCTTCAAGCGTTCAAACATGTGATGTGATGTTGGTCACATGCAATATGGTGATTGGTGGGTGTCAAGGTCACGTGAAAATTAGGTCAAGGTCACTGACCTTTAATGACCTTGGTTCACCTTTTCGAGTTTTACATGTTTCTAGGACAGTTTTTGGAGCTGATTTGATTTCGAATTTAGCATTCAGTTCAACATTTAAGAAGTTATAGTTTTAGTGCATTCGTAACATGTTACGACGCCATCAGTGGTGGTGGACACCTACTATGGATAAGCTACTTTACTATGGATAAGATACTTTACTATGGATAAGATACTTTACGTATACCTATATGGTGCTCTTAAAGGAAATAGTTCACTTTTTAACATGGGTTTTGAACTGGAATAGCAGTTCCGTAGCCTGGGCTGAGACGAGCATAAATCAGGAGCTTTTACAGCCCAACGATCACCCTAGGCAAAGATATTCTATTTCTCGTCCCGAAAAAGGTGTCTTGCGTTGAGGATGTGTGCCTTGCATATATTCGCATCCAGTATGAAAAGAGCATGGGTACCGAAAATTCTTCAGAAACTAGAGAAATTATCTACGAGAACTGTAGAGAAATTCTCGTACTGATCAATAAGGACATTCAGCAGCAGCAGATCGCCCAAATGCCGGTGGCCGCGATCATTTCTCTAGTTTCTGAAGAATTTTCGGGACCCATGCTCTTTTCATACTGGATCGCCTGTGCCTTACAGAAACTGAAAAGTTCTTCTTATTATCAAAATATAGAAAATAATCTTTTGTTATAAATAGGTTTTATTTTCTTTGCTGATCATTTTGAACATAAAAAATCATAAATCCATTGCAAAAAAAATAATTTCGTGAAAGTGAACTATTTCCTTTAATAATCGCCGCCAACGTTTTAGACCGATTGTTCAGTCTGTGTAGCATGACGGGCATTATAACTTTTCCTAAGGTAAGGCCACTTGGACGTAACCTGGTGACCTAACCTTGAGTGACCTGGGTCTGAAAGTTATGCAGCATGCGTGAAAAAGATGCATGAAAGGGTGTGCTAAAAACGGCGGCGCTCCACAACGCCGTTTTCGAGATATATTTACATAAACCTACATGGGGTGTCCAAGCATCCCCACCGCCCGGCGAGGATAATTTCTTGCACGTGCAGAGCGCACCTTTGGGGTCCACCAGGCACCAGGAGATAGATATGCTCAATAACTATGCTGGAATGCATTCTGGGTGGCCTGTGTAAATTTGGCACTTTGAGCTTGCCAGCGCTACCCGCCCTATACCCGCATGTGTGACACAGAGTGCAACATCAAAAGGTTTGCACGTGCACAGCACGTGCACCGTGTACCCAAGCACGCCTATTTATACAGCACCTTAAAGCGCGTGTCCATCAGTGTCAGTGTACCAAATTTGGTGTGCCTAGGTCAAGGTTTTCCGGAATCGGAGGATGCATCCTCAAAACATGTTTTTCGCCCCTGGCGCGTGCATTCCGCACCCCCTGCTGCCGAGCATACCATATGGTAATGGTCAAACACCGGGACATGTGACCTGTGAATTTGGCACCTGTGCCGTCCACGGTTTAATTTGGAGCGTCTTGCCCTTCCCGACTTTGTCGGCACGTGGCACGCGCCACGTGACACCGAATGACCTGTGTCATGCATCATCACCTGCCTCAAAGCATTACCCATCGAACGGTACCACCAGCATCTCGATCCGATCATCCGTTTAGACGCAATTCCAATTGTAATGGTTCGATGACCTTTCAGAGCATGGGTTTTTGGCAACGTAAAATGGCGCCTTGTCGGCTTCACCTGAATGGAGGTGGTTGCGGGTCCAGTTTAATTATACGTCCGTGGGGTGAGTGGTGTGCGCGATATGAGCGCTGTTCGGCAGCCGGCTATTTTGTGTGCAGGGTATGACGTATTTCGCGAGCCGACGTCACAGGCGGTGACGTCGGCTCGCGCGCGAGCCGAGCGCCAACGACAAACTAACGGGAACCCTCGGACACCCTCAGTGAAATGCTCGCAATTTGATCAAGTTTGATGCTGTTTATCACATTTTTAGTGCATAGAGAATAGTTTGACAAGCATGTGAGTATCTGTTGCTTTCTTTGGTTGAATTTAATCGAAGTGGTATCCACAGCAATGTGTGTGCATCTCACATCTGTGAGCTTGATCTTGATTTCATCTTGATCTGCTTCATTACTTGTGTTATAATCAAGCTGGTTAATGTTGATGTATTTTTTTCATATTGTTAGTTACTTGATATCCCTGTCCCATTGTTTTGCCAATCCAAATCACACCACATAATTTTGCACTTTGTAATGTCATTTGCGCAGACTTGTTACCTAGTTGCTAGTGATGACAGCTCTGAAATTTGTACATTTAGATGAAGATGTTCATTATTTTACAATGAAATCATTAAAGGATTAATTAAAAAATAGGCATTAGTAGAGCAGACGTCACACGAAGGTTTTCCAACCAAGGAGAGGCGCTGTAGGTTTGTAGGTTGTCATACCTATGTAGTAACCTTGTGTGTTATTTTATCTACAATTTCTTCAGCCACCTATTCCCAGTGGCGCGGGAACTTCTTCCAGACTGGGGGGGCTGAACCATAATAGAAATCAACCTAGGGTTCCCCCAAATCTAGTTTTCTCACCGGTTTTAGGCCACTTATTTTTCAGACCTTGGCCTTTTCAACAACAAAAAAAAAACACGAAAATATTTTCAAAAAGTGAGGTATTCCGTCTCAGCTGAGTGAAGAAATTACCGTTTTGGCAACCTGGAGTAAAGGTTTTAATCTGCCAAATGAGTTGCCGAGCCAGTGAAATAGGTGGATTTTTCACTTACATGTTTTCTTCCTTTGCGACCCACAACCCCTAATTTGGGGAGGACAAGCTGCCCAACGGTTCCTGGCCTCATGAAACGTTGTGGGGCACCGCCCCCACTGCCGCAGAGTTGTGGGGGCAAGCTTCCCCCACTGCCCCCTCCCCAGTTCCCGCGCCTATGTATGAATCTATGAAATTATGTTGGTAGATTTCCGATTTCGATTCCTCCAGCTTGGGGGGGGGGGCTCAAATACATTACGAGCCCCCCCAGCCGAAAAGCTGGGGGGCTCAACCCCCGCTAGCCCCCCGGTTCCCGCGCCACTGCCTATTCCTTGCATTTTTTGTGCTCTATGCTGGCGACAAGGCATGGGTGGGCAGACAACTTGGAATAAGTTTAGCTGGCGATTGAGCAGTTTTAATGCTTTCATCAGTCTGCATGTCTATTCCATCCAATTGCCTTAGCAGTGAGCGTTATTACGGCGGCGTCCGTGGGTTCTTTGCTTCCAGCAGCTCTCCTGCCGCACGTCTAAAGACTCCGCCGTCAGCCAATGGCCCGCGTGGACCGCGGCGCAGGCATCGGCAACCGCGGCCACGGCATTGAGCTCGACGAGAACGCCTCGGACGAGTCCGACTTTTTCCTGGTGCAGACCGGACGCGGCGACAGCACCATTCACAAGATTCGGCCGGCCGGCTTCGCCACGGTGCCGGCCGGCGGCGCGCCGCTCAGGGAGGCGCTGCCGCACCCGGGCCGCAACAGCTCGCCCTCCTTCTCCAACACGGTGCGTGACGCGCCGCCGGCCGGCCGAGGAGCGGGGGCGGGCGGGTCTGGTTCGGGTCGCTGGGAGGGCCTGATGGTTTATGGGCGGTCACGCCATTCAGAAGCCACCGTCTCGAAGCCAGCCACAGAACCACTATTGTGCAGATGGCCTGACGTCTCTGGAAATGGCTGCAAAAAGGTGTATTACGTGATGTGATTTTCGAGTGCGCCGTGGCTGCTTTGTCTGGCGGGGCTTGGTAACGGGCCTACACAGTCACACTGAGCTATATCGGCACACATCCTGTATTCATTTTGATCACGTCTGTCGTCAACGGCCGCCGGATACTGCCCGCCCACCCATTTACCGTCCCAAGGGGCCAATCGTATAAAGTGCCGTAGGTACTTTCCTATGCACGGCATTTGGTAGCATATGCAATGATGCTGATATTGACAAATGTGTATCTGACTAGAGAACTCTATTCCTGGGAACAACAAATTATGATGGACTGAATTGCTTACAAACATTTTTGCATTTAATAGGCGTTTGTTATAGCTGAACTTTTGCACCAGCGATCCCAAACCTTTGGTATGACACTTGTCGCGAATGGATCCAGGGACCGTCAGACCCGCCGTCTGACATTCTCCTGCCCTCGGCGGCCGGCAGGGCACGGTGCCGGCAGCGCCGCCGCCGCCCTCCAGCGTCACCCGGAAACGGAAAATCGAAAAGGAGGAGAAGGACAGTGCCGAGCGCGAGGGTCGCAAGACGCGCACCGACCAGCACCACGGCGGCGCCGGCCACGGCGTGCCGATGGTGTTCGAAAAACAGTATCTGCGCGTCGAGCACTCGCCTGTCGACGGTGAGTGGTGGCCGGCGAGTGGCGACTCTCGCCGGCCTGCCCGGTTTTTGTCTGCTCCGCTCTCTGAACACACGCTTGAGTGTCGTTGAATGCAACCCTTTGGACGGCAGCAGGTGCGGCGAACGCAGGCAATAACAACGCAGTTGCGCCCATAATTCCTAGTAGTTAAATTAAGGCAATGATAACACAAGGATTAAGGATATCAAGCATTCATACCAGACGTAGTCCGAATAAAATATTTACCCCAATTACGTTTAGATAAATGTGCTAGGGCATTCATAAGAAATTATCAGCGAACATCTTTCAGCATAAGGCACATATCTCGTGTTTGGTGATGCTTCCAGGCCAACATTAAGAGTTAAGACGCTGGAAAATCATTTTGGCGTTCATTGACCATGCATTTTTGTCGTTTAACCCGCGCCCCGCTGGGGCTCCTGGATTTCCACGCCCTGCTAGGGGGGAGGGGATTGAACATCCCTTTTACTTCGGTTCCTGGTCCACGTAGCGACACGTGGTAGGCGTTGCTCGAAAGAGCGTCAAAACTAATGACGAATTGATTCGGCTATTTTTTAGATCATGTCAACGATCAGGTTACCAGACGTCACCGAAGGTCAAATTTCGCCTATTCTGATTATTTTTGACAAACCAGCGCATATCTCGGAGATGAATAGAGCTCCAGCGCCGCAGAGAAGCGCATTTGTTAACCCTGGTAACGTTCTTTCTGAACAATCCTCTCAGATCCAACCTAAGATCGACACCCAACGCTTTGGCCTGCAGGGGGCAAAAACTACCAAGTACCAACATAGGCGTTTTCATTGCAGAAGCGGTTTTTCTGCAATAACTTTTGACTAAAAAATGCACGAGAAAACTTGCATGAGCTAACTTTTGCCGGTATCGTGTTCCTCTCGTCGAGACGTGTCGAATGAATTATAATTTGACGTTGAAAGGTAAATTTGAAAATTTGACCTCAGTTCAAGATCATGACATGAGCGAAAAAGGTCGTCTTGCATATCAGTCGATCTGTATCGTCGAGCTGAATACATGTAAGGTGTTTTCATCGCTCTATTATGCCTATATCAAAAATGATAAGCAAAAAAAAAACTGATGAATACCTTTCGCGACCTGTGGTGACCTCAGGGACATAAAGAGAGTTCACGAGCTTAATCATTCAATTCGATACCTTATATTTATATGTTTATAATGGATACTGGAGAGAAAAAAATTGACCTGACGCTAGGTCACCGATATCAAAATTCCGAGATATACACCTTTTACGCCCAATTTAGGCGGCAGTGCTGAGTGCACACAGTTCAGTAAAAGTGCAGGTGATTTCGACAGTACGGCATAGTCTGTCAAGTGTCAATAGCGAACTGTCGAAATGGGTTGCGCCATTACTGAACTGCACTATGTCACTATTTGCACTATGCACTATGTCTGCATAGTATTTGCATTTGCACTAGTTATATGCACTATGTCTGTATTTGGCTGTAAAAAGGGATACAATTTATACATACTGTTGGTCTTATCAATTGCTGAAAGTTTCAAAGGGATCCGTCACTCGGTGGAGCTATGTCAAGCACTAAGTTCCAGTTCTGAGGTGAAGTCACTTGACGTGACCTGGTGACCTGACCTTGAGAGACCTGGAGCTGACATTTTTAAATGTGCAAAAAAAGATGCATGATAAGGTGTGCCAAGCGCCTCCCGTTTTGAGGATATTCGCAACAACCCGCAAGGAGAATGTTCTTACCCCCCCCCCCCCCCAGCAGGACTGGGGTTAATGAGGGCGTGTTTTGTGGACCGAGATCATCCGATTCAGGTCATAAAGGCAGACATGCGCCGTCCTGGGTTGTAAAATTGCAGAATGGCCATTGCCGGCGAGGTTTAATTACACTGAAGGACATATTTGTTGTCTCCGGCGAATGAAGTGATGGGGAGACGAATATTCTCGCTTTTTTCGCCGGTAAGCACAAACCCAATGCGCATATTTAATGATATTTTCTAAGGTACATATTTTCATCCAGTTAAAAATGATTTATGTATGATGGAGACCTGCACTCCTTATTATTAATTAAAACGTCTGACATGTCTTAACTTCGCTGTGATTATAAGGCCCAGACTATAAGGCCCAGACCCCAGACTGTTTCCTGTTTTCATTGAAAATGGAAAACGCAGCAAAAGATTAAAACTAAGAATTTTTAAAAACTGCGAGCAAAGCTATGGACATTGCACAGGTATCCTACAAAATGGCTCTGTTGGCCTTTCCATTTTACTTAGGAACACCTTTAATCGGATCTATACAGTGCACTGAGCCGGGAGCCTATTTACATGATTTCAATCATGTGATGCCCGTCCGAGCCGGTTAGTGCGCCGCGAATCGCGCTGGTATGGTGTCCGTCAATAGGCCGTATAGCTGTGGCGTTACCGTGTCATTGCGGACGTCCACGGCGCGGTCTCCGTCGGCGCCCGGCGCCTGACGGGAGGCGCGCTGTGCCTCGCCGGGGGCGGGAGCGCGGCGCCAAGTCTCGCTGCTAGCGCGGATACGCTGACAGATGAATACGCCACCGCGGTAACTGGTGACACCTCGGCTATACGGGTATTCCTGTCCACGGGCTCCCCACCCGCGCTGGAGCGAGCATCCGTGTGCTGACGCCTGTTGATGTTTTGATGCTAATTACTATGCAATGTCGTGAGAAGTTTGCAAACGGACAAGCACTACATGGCGCGATGTACCGTATCATTGGTTTCTGAACGCAATGCTGGTACCGTAATATTAATATCAAACCTTTTTGTGTGTGGAAAATTATGTGTTGCCTGGATACTTCTGTCGTTCTCACTTCATACCGATAACGGAACAAATATATTCGAATACCTAGTTTATGTTTGCCTTAAATACAGGCACGACCGAGCATGCGTAGCTGTTGTGACAATGTGACGTACATCGAAGTTGTCGATATTAAACGAATAGAGTTACAGGCTGCTGTAACGAAAGGAAAAAGTGGCATCCTGCACGTGTGCACGGGCAAAGTAAGACTACGACTGGCTTGTGTTGGTCACTTGTCTACGCACTCCCTACTAGCGTGGCTACCCACTTCAGAAATTGGCCTATCCGTTATTGAGATGTAGGAGTGACCCCGTGCGTGCGAAATGATCCTCAGCTGGCTAAGTGCGGCGTGCACCCTTCGAAAGAGTCCTTAACGGCCCACCAACTTCGAGCGCTATCGGCCCAGCCGTACCTACCTATTTGAGATGTAGGAGCGGCGCCCTACACGTACTCTCGTGCCACCCCAATCGTGACAGATGGAAAACATTGCCCCGTGGGTTCCTATTGCCCATTGCCCAGTGCCCACACATGGACCAAGTTCTGTTTATCAACACATCACACCCATTGATAATGTGCTTAAACAAACAAACAAACAAACGAATGGCGTAGGTTTTCTTGCCCTTAATTTTGTTATGGTAAACATTTTGAACATTTGGACCAAATACAAACAAGCAAACAAACAAACAAACAAACAAACAAACAAACAAACAAAAATATTAAATTACCAGTTCTCGGTGAGAGCCATTCCCAAATAATTTGAAAGTTATTTGCATGGCAGCGGGACGGGACAATGATTGACTGCACACAATTAATTTAATTAAATGCCGTTTTGCTGGCAACTCTTCAGAAATATCAATCTTTTCCGCTTCCGCACAAACAATTTTTTAAATCAGCCCCACTGCATTTTTATCCGCAAATTTAACATATAGAATCAGGGCTGCGGAGTCGATGGATTTTCGGCGACTCCGACTCCGACTCCGACTCCGGCTTTCAAAAACCAGCTCCGGCTCCGACTCCGACTCCGGGCAGAATTGTCGACTCCGACCGACTCCAACTCCCGACTCCGACTCCGCAGACCTAGCAGGGCTGCGGAGTCGACAGATTTTCGGTGACTCCGACTCCGACTCCGGCTCGGGTTTCTAAAATCGACTCCGACTCCGACTCCGACTCCGGTCACAACTGTCGACTCTGACCGACTCCGACTCCGACTCCGACTCCGACTCCGCAGCTCTGTATAGAATAACATTTTGAATCTGTATTTGATGGCGTAAAAATTAAGCCCTACGCTGATGTGTATGTTTTTTTTGGGTTTGAAGCTGCACTTGATGTAATTTATTTTATTGTAATTTATTGCACTTGCCGTGAATAAATTACGTGAACACCGATTCGAATGTCTGGCCGAACGTCTGTATAAGCTGTCCAGTGTCCAATGTGTGTATTAGTTTTTACTGTGCGTAGCATACACGTCATGCCCTCTGGTATGACGAGATATTAATCTGTCCACAACGCCTTGAGTCTTAAGATCGCTCTTTTCGCTGAAAAGTGAGGATGGAGATCAGAGGAATTCTCACTCGTTTTCTAAATTTTCGGTCCCCCTACTTAGTCATGTGGAAGCTTTGCGTGACCGCCTTCTCGGAGCGGCTGTGGGCCCGCGGCGGCGCGCCGGTTTGCACCTCTGCGGGTCAGCTGACTGCCGGCTGGCCGGCCGGCCGGGCGACTGCGTCTCAGTGGTGAAGAGCTGAGGCGGTGGACACCTCGCGCGTCGACCGCGTCACGTGATCGTCTCCCTTCTGTGCACGGGTCACGTGGTTGTCCGCCGCCCGTGGACCAATCGAGTGCCATCGGAACGTGTCGCGGCCACGTGGTCCCGTGTCGTGTTCCGTGCGCGGTCGCGGCAGCCCGAGTCGCCGATCTGACCGATCGGTCGTGCCCGTGTGCGCGCCGAGGCCGCCCGAGCTGACCTGTCCGGCGGCCCGTCCGTCGGCGCTGACTGAGGCTGCAGGCTGTGGGTGGCGGCGCCGGCAGCGTTGCGGCCCGGATCGACCCCTCGGCGGCCGGCGCCGGCTGGCTCGTCCGCTGGGGACGGCGGCCCCTCGGCGCCGGCGGCCGGCATGTGTCCGCGGCGTCAGTCGGCGGCCGAGATGGCTGCCACCGGCCGCTACCTGTCCGAGGCCTCCTC